AATTTGAAACTTTGGCACCAAATGGGATCAATGAAAAAGTGTAGTTCTAATTCGCGCAGTGCTTTTCATTTACATATTACTACGCAGTCTCTGTTGCCGCTATTCCTTTACTTTTGTCAACTTTACAATTGCAGAATTATACCAATTCGCAGGGTACAATATTCATTTGGGATGGATAAGTACGCAGTCACGTTCAATTACTTAACCTTTGTCAAAATTATTATTACTATTCTCTTTTTTAATCATTATCAAACTGCTATTTATTTGGGATGTTTAAATACGCAGCCTCTGTTGTAATTATTTTACCGTCGTCAAATTTGAAATATTATACCAGCTCAAATCGGTCCGTGCTGTTCATTGGGAATGTATTTGTACGCAGTCCTTCTTGTTATATCTTAACTGTCGTCACCTTTGAAATTTTAAAAATGTACCAGTTCATATCGCTCATTACTTTTTTTTTTAGAAGCATATCTATGCAGTCTCTGTTGTAAATACCTATATAACCTACGTCATTTTTGAAATTTAAGAATTGTACAAGCGTTGTTGTGTTCGGTTTTAATTGTATAAATTTCAAGATTGTTATAGTTAAATCAGAATACATTGATATGATTCATTTTACATCATAATCATACTGATGAAGGACATCTGTTATCCGAAATATTTATAGATACTTACATTTATTGTTTCCTTTTTAATATTGGTGTTGTTTTGTACACTTTTTAGGCGTTTATATATATATATATATATACATATATATAAGATTTAGAAACTTAAGAAAAGAATTATACGGTGGCATGTAGTTGTGACGTTTTGAAACATGAAAAGTTCAGCAACGAAAAAAACCTATTGTTTTCACGTTATCTGCATAATATTATTTAAATAACCATCAACATAGCTATAATACTGATGTTTGTAGAATTAGATCTAAGTACTGCGATTTATTAATTTGTATTGGACATAACCAGCTCGTGTGTCGTAAATTCGAATAGTAACCAACCTGTTTGATTGTAATTAACTGTTTGCTTTTACAGATTGTAAAGTGTTTCTTTTATAAGCTTTTTTTATTTTCGAGTACCTTCTAAAATAATAAAACCAATTGCAACTTAATAAGTTTAACCAATGAATGGCAATCCGAGTGTGTAAACATTAAATGATCCTTCGAGATTTTTAACAGAATGTAAAATGTTTAAGTATTTGCAGAAATGGTGAAATAATTCTTATTTGGCAATTATTTTGCCCTTCTTGTTAACCGTTGTATACTTTTCTTATATTTTCCAGTCTGATCACTGGGAAAAAAGTAGAGAAAATATCTTCCCACAGAAAATACTAATAACACATGATGAGCCATTCTTTATCCAACCGTTAATATTTTTTATGATTATTTATGTAGGTTCTGGTATCTATGTATCACCTAAGGGAATTCTAGCAAATACCAAGTCTGTTGGTCTTAGTCTGGTCATATGGTGCGTATGTGGATTTTTATTAATACTTGGTAAGTTCTCGTTCTAGTCGGTTTTTTTTAAAAGTTCTTTTTAAAAAAGAATGAGTTACAAAAAATAATTTTAAATCAGAATGAATACATAGGATTCATAACTCTCATATTCAACCATTTCAACAAATATTTTATTTCAATTTGCCATTACTTGCTTCCGTCTTTCGGTCTCTTAAATCAAATATCCTTTGCATTTCAACACTTGAATGTTATGTTTTAAGCGGCGTTCTTACCTGTTATATATACTAGTACTTTATGTTAAAAAATTTATCATGCTCCTATTACAGCGGCGTTAGTGTTCGCAGAGTTGGGTGCGCTTGTTCTATAATCAGGTGGCGACTTAGGTTATATGTTGGCTGTCTTTGGCAGGTTTCCAGCCTTTATGTATATGTGGTCCCAATTAATCACAGGACCATCGGGACAAATAGTTCTAGGTCTTACTGTAGCAGAGTACATGTCAAAAGCTATATTTGACAACTGTGGTCCGAGTTTTCTGTTCAAAAAGATAGTGGCCGTAACAGTGATCAGTGAGTAAAATGACTTTCTCAGAGTTAATATGTAAATAATAATGTAAGACTATTTAACATCAATTAGTTTGGTACACAGCAAATGTTTTGAGATTGTCTAAATTTCTCATTTGTTCTTAGTTTTCTAATATTTAGCAGTGACCTTAACGTTAAACCCAAATTCTTCACTAATTGTATTCACTGATGAGATTTCTGAAATGCTAAAAACCAAAAATTATCGAATTGAATACCAGATGTCTTCACTATGCTGTCTTAATATCAAATTCACGTTATGAAATCTACAATATGTTACCTGATTCTAAATATTCTTTTATTACAGTGACAGCTGCTGTATCAAACTGTATCAGTGTAAGACTTCGAGAAGCTACACAAATTATGTTTACTGTAATCAAAATTTGTAGTCTGGTCGTTTTAGTCATTGGTGGATTCGTCATGATAAGTCGAGGTATGTAAAGTCATTGGTGGATTCGTAATGATAAGTCGAGGTATGTAAAGTCATTGGTGGATTTGTCATGATAAGTCGAGGTATGTAAAGTCATTGGTGGATTTGTCATGATAAGTCAAGGTATGTAAAGTCATCGGTGAATTCGTCATTATAAGTCGAGGTATGTAAAGTCATCGGTGGATTCCTCATGATAAGTCGAGGTATGTAAAGTCATTGGTGGATTCATCATTATAAGTCGAAGTATGTAAAGTCAATGTTGGATTCGTCATGATAAGTCGGGATATGTAAAGTCATTGGTGGATTCGTCATGATAAGTCGAGGTATGTAAAGTCATTGGTGGATTCGTAATGATAAGTCGAGGTATGTAAAGTCATTGGTGGATTTGTCATGATAAGTCGAGGTATGTAAAGTCATTGGTGGATTTGTCATGATAAGTCGAGGTATGTAAAAAAAAATTTAAATTCTTCATTAATGGTCCTGAACAATATTGAGAGCTAGAAATCAAATTGGTTAATTGTGATCATAACCATCAAATGTTTTCAATAAAGAATGCTTTCAAAAAATGTAAAATACAAGGTATGAAGTTCTTTTTTTAAAAATCAGTAATTTTGTTAAACCTTCATGGATATTTGCGAAACTTGGACAGAAATGTTTTCAAGATCAAGCAAGAAACATCAAGATCAAATTTGAAAATAGTTTATTTCTTCGTATTTTACTGAGAAATGAACTTAGTGTTTCTGACAATTAACATTTAGATACAGTTTGGGGTTACAGTTTTTTTAGACGTCAATAACTTTATCAAACCTTCATTTAATATTATGAAACGTGGACAGAAGGTTTTTCGTGATTAAAAGATAGAATCTGAAGCAAAATTTTTGTTAATATTTTTTCTCATTTTCAGTATTTTATTGATGGATGAACTAACTTTTTTTGCAGTTAATATATCCATACAGTCTAGTGTTGAAGTTTTTAGACATCAATAATTTTGTAAAACCTTTATGGAATTTTACAAAACTTTTACACATCAAGAGATAAAATAAAATTTAGAATGTATAGTGTGTGTGGACCATTGTTTGTCTATTCGTCGTTTTTCTTTTGGCCGGGGTATTGTCTGTTTTTCTTCTACTTGTGATGTCTGATTGTCTGCTTTGTATGTTCGTTACCTTTTTTCATTGCGAAATAGAGAGCTCCAGCAAGTCATCTACCTTCAACACTGTAAAAGCGTCGAAACCATAACATGACAACTTCTAAATCGACTCGGAGTGAAGATACATTATGAATTATTCTAATAAATTATTCCCTAATAGCAAAACATACACGGAGCAAAAGTGACTGACGAAATTCCTATCTTTGGACATGCACCTTAGGGTATCATTCGACAGAGTAAATACAGTTTGTGAGGACTTACCCTCACACAGTTAAAAAGCGCAATAGCAAAAGAAAAAAAGACCATTTACTAAAAAAATATCGATGATATCGTCTATAATTCTATTAAAGAGTGCTTGCAGTACATAAAAGCAAGTTGTCATCACTGTATCTGATGATAATCAAAACATTGCCTTCCTGACATCAGTGCTTCTACATAGGATTGATAAATGTCATAAACATTGTCATAAAAAGTTATTGTGTAATGCCCTAAAAAATTTCTTTTGTTTTTGCCTTCTTTTTTTGTTTTGTTTGTTTAAAATGTTTTTATCTATTTATTTGATTTGGATTTTTTCATTTTCTGATGATTTTCCATTCATTGATGAAATTGATTTTTTTTTTAATTCTACAGGTACATATGGTAGTCTAGCGACGGGTTTTGAAGGATCAGAGAAAAATCCGTTGGTATGGGTCTCAGCTATATATAGCAGAATGTGGGCTTTCGGTGGATGGTAAAATCATATGCATCTATGTTTGAGGGCTTGTATCCCTAAAAAAAGTAAACTAAAACACACAAACAGAATTGTAAATAATTATCTTTTTACTGCAACACAACAATCCTTAAATGTTGATTTGTTTTGATAAAAAGAACCATGCCGTTTGTTATTGTAACACAACTATCTATTTATTACAATTTTCAATGTCGAGATGGCCAACCACATACAATACAGCCTAGTAAAGCAGAACCTTATTGGGCTTCTACCTTTTCTGACATAAATTAAAAACACATTATACTAGATTATTTTCTTTAAAATTCAATATAAAAATAAGGAGATGTGGTATGATTGCCAATGAGACAAATATTCACCAAAGTTCAAATGAAGTTGATGTAAGCAATTATTTTTCATGTCGGGGCCTTTTATAGCCGACCGTACGGTATGGGTTTATCTCATTGTTGAAGGCCGTACGGTTGCCTATAATTGCTTACATCAACTTCATTTAAACTTTGGTGAATATTTGTAGAAAAGGTAGAAGCCCAATAATTATTTACAATTCTGTTTATGTGTTTTAGTTTATTTTATTTAGAGATACAAGCCCTCAAACATAGATGCATATGATTTTACCATCCACCGAAAGCCCACATTCTGCTATATATAGCTGATACCTATACCAACGGATTTTTCTCTGATCCTTCAAAACCCGTCGCTAGACTACCATATGTACCTGTAGAATTAAAAAAAAAATCAATTTCATCAATGAATGGAAAAACATATAAGAAAATGAAAAATCCAAATCAAATGAATAGATAAAAACATTTTAAACAAACAAAATAATAAAAAAGAAGGCAAAAACAAAAGAAATTTTTTAGGGCATTACACAATAACTTTTTATGACAATGTTTATGACATTTATCAATCCTATGTAGAAGCACTGATATCAGGAAGGCAATGTTTTGATTATCATCAGATACAGTGATGACAACTTGCTTTTATTTACTGCAAGCACTCTTTAATAGGATTATAGACGATATCATCGATATTTTTTTAGTAAATGGCCTTTTTTTTTCATTTGCTATTGTGCTTTTTAACTGTGTGAGGGTAAGTCCTCACAAACTGTATATACTCTGTCGAATGATACCCTTAGGTGCATGTCCAAAGATAGGAATTTCGTCAGTCACTTTTGCTCCGTGTATGTTTTGCTATTAGGGAATAACGTATTATAATAATTCATAATGTATCTTCACTCCGAGTCGATTTGAAGTTGTCATGTTATGGTTCGACGCTTTTACAGTGTTGAAGGTAGATGACTTGCTGGAGCTCTCCATTTCGCAATGAAAAAAGGTAACGAATATACAAAGCAGACAATCAGACATCACAAGTAGAAGAAAAACAGACAATACCCCGGCCAAAAGAAAAACGACGAATAGACAAACAATGGTCCACACACACTATACATTCTAAATTTTATTTTATCTCTTGATGTGTAAAAGTTTTGTAAAATTCCATAAAGGTTTTACAAAGTTACTGATGTCTAAAAACTTCAACACTAGACTGTATAGATATATTAACTGCAAAAAAAGTTAGTTCATCCATCAATAAAATACGGAAAAAGAAAAGAAAATATTAACAAAATTTTGCTTTAGATGCTATCTTTTAATCACGAAAAAGCTTCTGTCCACGTTTCATAATATTAAATGAAGGTTTGATAAAGTTATTGACGTCTTAAAAAAAACTGTAACCCCAAACTGTATCTAAATGTTAATTGTCAGAAACACTAAGTTCATTTCTCATTAAAATACGAAGAAATAAACTATTTTCAAATCTGATCTAGATGTTTCTTGCTTGATCTTGAAAACATTTCTGTCCAAGTTTCGCAAATTTCCATGAAGGTTTGACAAAATTACTAATTTTAAAAAAAGAACTTCATGCCTTGTAATTTACATTTTTTGAAAGCATTCTTTACTGAAAACATTTGATGGTTATGATCAGAACTATCCCATTTGATTTCTAGCTCTCAATATTGTTAAGGACCATTAATAAAGAATTTAAATTCTTTTTTTTACATACCTCGAATTATCATGACAAATCCACCAATGACTTCACATACCTCGACTTATCATGACAAATCCACCAATGAATTTACATACCTCGATTTATAATGACGAATCCGCCGATAACTTTACATAACTCGACTTATAATGACGAATCCACCAATGACTTTACATACCTTGACTTATCATGACAAATCCACCAATGACTTTACATACCTCGACTTATGACGAATCCACCAATGACTTTACATACCTTGACTTATCATGACGAATCCACTAATGACTTTACATACCTCGACTTATCATGACAAATCCACCAATGACTTTACATACCTCGACTTATGACGAATCCACCAATGACTTTACATACCTTGACTTATCATGACGAATCCACCAATGACTGTATATACATCGATTTATCATGACGAATCCACCAATGACTTTACATACCTCGATTTATCATGACGAATCCACCAATGACTTTACATACCTCGACTTATCATGACGAATCCACCAATGACTTTACACACCCCGACTTATCATGACGAATCCCCCAATGACTTTATATATCTCGACTTATCATGACGAATCCATCAATGACTTTACATACTTCGACTTATCATCAGGAATCCACCAATGACTTAACATACCTCGACTTATCATGACAAATCCACCAATGACTTTACATATCTCGACTTATCATGACGAATCCATCAATGACTTTACATACTTTGACTTAGCATGACAAATCCATCAATGACTTTACATACCCCGACTTATCATGACGAATCCACCAATGACTTTACGTACTTCGACTTATCATGACGAAACCACCAATGACTTTAGATAACCCGACATATCATAACGAATCCATCAATGACTTTACATATCTCGACTAATCATAACGAACCCATCAATGACTTTACATACTTCGACTTATCATGACGAATCCACCAATGACTTCACATACCCCGACTTATCATGACGAATCCACCAATGACTTTACATACTTCGACTTATCATGATTAATCCACCAATGACTTTACATACCCCGACTTATCATGACGAATTCACCAATGACTTTAGATAACCCGACATATCTTAACGAATCCATCAATGACTTTACATGACTCGACTTATCATGACAAATCCACCAATGACTTTACATACCCTGACTTATCATGACGAATCCACCAATGACTTTACATAACCCGACATATCATAACGAATCCATCAATGACTTTACATACCTCGTCTTATCATGACGAATCCGCCAATGACTTTACATGCCTCGACTCATCATGACGAATCCACCAATGACTATAACGACCAGACCACAAATTTTGAATACAGTAAAAATAATTTGTGTAGCTTCTCCAAGTCTTACACTGATACAGTTTGATACAGCAGCTGTCACTGTAATAAAAGAATACCTAGGGTCAGGTAAAAGATTGTAGATTTCATAACGTGTATTTGATATTAAGACAGCGTAGTGGAGACATCTGGTATTTAATTCGATAATTTTTGGTTTTTAGCATTTCAGAAATCTCATCAGTGAATACAATTAGTGAAGAATTTGGGTTTAACGTTAAGGTCACTGCTAAATCTCAAAAAACTTAGAACAAATGAGAAATTTAGACAATCTCAAAACATTTGCTGTGTACCAAACTAATTGATGTTAAATAATCTTACATTATTATTTACATATTACTCTGAGGTAGTCATTTTACTCACTTATCACTGCTACGGCCACTATCTGTTTGAACAGAAAACACGGACCACAGTTGTCAAATATAGCTTTTGACATGTACTCTGCTACTGTAAGACCTAGAATTATTTGTCCCGATGGTCCTGTGATTAATTGGGACCACATATACATAAAGGCTGGAAACCTGCCAAAGACAGCCAACAAATAACCTAAGTCGCCACCTGATTTTGGAACAAGCGCACCCAACTCTGCGAACACTAACGCCGCTGTAATAGGAGCATGATAATTTTTTCAACATAAAGTACTAGTATATATAACAGGTAAGAACGCCGGTTAAACCATAACATTCAAGTGTTGAAATGCAAAGGATATTTGATTTAAGAGACCGAAAGACGGAAGCAAGTAATGGCAAATTGAAATAAAATATTTGTTGAAATGGTTGAATATGAGAGTTATGAATCCTATGTATTCATTCTGATTTAAAATTATTTTTTGTATTACATTCTTTTTTAAAAAGAACTTTTTTTAAAAAACCGACTAAAACGAGAACTTACCAAGTATTGATATAAATCCACATACGCACCATATGTCCAGACTAAGACCAACACACCCGGTATTTGCTAGAATTCCCTTAGGTGATACAAAGATACCAGAACCTACATAAATAATCATAAAAAATATGATATACGAAAATTAACGGTTGGATAAAGAATGGCTCATCATGTATTATTAGTATTTTCTGTGGGAAGATAATTTCTCTACTTTTTTCCCAATGATTAGACTTGAAAATATAAGAAAAGTATACAACGGTTAGCAAGAAAGGCAAAATAGTTGCCAAATAAGAATTATTTCACCTTTTCTGCAAATACTTAAACATTTTACATTCTGTTTAAAATCTCGAAGGATCATTTAATGTATACACACTCGGATTGCCATTCGTTGGTTAAACTTATTAAGTTGCAATTGGTTTTATTATTTTAGAAGGTACTCGAAAATAAAAAAAACTTATAAAAGAAACACTTTACAATCTGTAAAAGCAAACAGTTAATTACAATCAAACAGGTTGGTTACTCTTCGGGTTGACGAAACACGAGCTGGTTATGTCCAATACAAATTAATAAATCGCTGTACTTAGATCTAATTCTACAATCATCAGCATTATAGCTATGTTGATGGTTATTTAAATAATATTATGCAGATAACGTGAAAACAATATGTTTTTTTCGTTGCTGAACTTTTCATGTTTCAAAACGTCACAACTACATGCCACCGTATAATTCTTTTCTTAAGTTTCTAAATCTTATATATATGTATATATATATATATATATATAAACTCCTAAAAAGTGTACAAAACAACATCAATAAAAAAAAAAAGGAAACAATAAATGTAAGTATCTATAAATATTTCGGATAACAGATATCCTTCATCAGTATGATTATGATGTAAAATGAATCATATCAATGTATTCTGATTTAACTATAACAATCTTGAAATTTATACAATTAAAACCGAATACAACAACGCTTGTACAATTCTAAAATTTCAAAAATGACGTAGGTTATATAGGTATTTACAACAGAGACTGCATAGAAATGCTTCTAAGAAAAATAGTAATGTGCGATATGAACTGGTACATTTCTAAAACTTGAAAGGTGACGACAGTTAAGATATTACAACAAGGACTGCGTACAAATACATTCCCAATGAACAGCACTGACCGATTTGAGCTGGTATAATATTTCAAATTTGACGACGGTAAAGTAATTACAACAGAGGCTGCGTATTTAAACATCCCAAATAAATAGCAGTTTGATAATGATTAAAAAAGAGAATAATAATAATAATTTTGACAAAGGTTAAGTAATTGAACGTGACTGCGTACTTATCCATCCCAAATGAATATTGTACCCTGCGATTTAAATTGGTATAATTCTGCAATTTTAGAGTAGACAAAGGTAAAGGAATAGCTGCAACAGAGACTGCGTAGTAATATGTAATATAACCCAAATGAAAAGAACTGCGCGAATTAGAACTACACAATTTCATTGATCCCATTTGGTGCCAAAGTTTCAAATTTAGCCCAACAATGTTAGATCTTTTAATTTGCGTTAGCAAATTTTTGTTCTTCCCTCAGCGGGATTCGAACCCTTGCTTCTGTGACATCGTGGCACATCGCCTGCACCGTATCCAGCGCCCTAGACCTATTGTTTAGTGGGTAGATCGGGCAACTATAAGGCTAACAATGCAACAAAGGCGTCTAGCATGTATGGATCTCTATATAAAATCTGATCTCAATACGTCACACTTAGGTGACGTTACAATGAATAGCGGCAGCGAGAACATTACGTTTATGCGTTACTTCCAACAAGACCACTCGACCACCTAGGCTACATAAAAATATAGGTGGTCGGTGTAATGCCTTTCATCGTCGGCTTTATCTAGGGTTGTAACACAGATCATGATGTATAGTGGCAAGTAGATGGTGTACCTTTTTAGATCAGCTATTTTGTCTGTCGTAAAGGATGATAATGTTGATTATCATGCCGCCACATCAAATTTTAATTTTATTATACACGTCTTAACATGTCACAACTTTATGACAGACATTCTCCATCGGATAATACGTGGTTATACAGGGCTAACACCATAATATATATATAATTTGTCTCAAATTTAGCCAACCAATGTTAGATCTATATATATATATATAAGTCTAAAGATTTGCACAACATTACTAATATAAGATGGTAATGTGCGAAGATGATGTAATAAAATCGTGTTGACAAATATTTCGGCTTACCAATTTGTAAAAATTATTGACACTGACGAAGGCTATTTGTTAAGCCAAAATATTTGTCAACACGATTTTATTACATCATCTTCGTATATTACCATATTATATTAGTACCGTTGTGCAAATCTTTAGACTTATATATATTTTTCCCCATCTGCGCAGCATCGTCTATTCTAGTCGATCCGGTACACATTAAATTTGCTGGTTATATATATAATGTAAAGTTGAAAAATGTCCACACTTCAAATTTGTAATAAAGATATAACAAATGGCCCCATACATCATTTGACGTATTGTTTACCCTGTAGGTCCGCTTTCTAACAATAACGTACAATTTCACGAGCCCAAAAATGCCAAGGCTGGTCACATTATGTTCATATGTCGAAAAAAAAATAATACTTCTTTGACATATCAATATACTCGCTGAGAAGAACAGTACATTACCTATTATTCCACCGACTATCAGGGCCACTCCACTACAGAACCCTAATCTTCTTTTAATATGACAGCGTCTTTTTCCAGAGTAACATTATTTGTTTCAATCATTTCTTTCAATTTATAGTCTTGATCAACATTTACAACAATGAATAGCACATGAGTTTCTTAATTCCAATGGTGCATTCCTTAATCAATACTACATCAACTGAAGCCGGGTGGTACTTTACATATCAATTAGATATTTACTTCAATTTAAAATCTATAAAAAAGACAACACATATACATTGATATGTAAATTGATTGTCATAAATGTTTAAGTGATATGTAAGATGTTGATGAATGCATAATCGTTGCCTCTGTGGGAATGTAAGCGAAATATTATCATAATCATACACACTAAGTTTACAACTGTTTTCGAGGATCATGAGTCATCGTTGGTCTTTTTTGGTTTTTGTTCTTTGGTTTTGTAACGCAACAAGATAAATCAATAAACTATTAATATTCAACATAGAAAACCAAAGACTGAACAACACCAACCCTACCAATAACCGGGGGTGATATCATATGCTTCGGATTAGGTAAGCAGATCCTGCTCCACATGTGGCACCCATCGTGTTGATCATTTATGTACAAATTCGGTGAGAAGTCTTATTCGTTGATGTCACAGTCGATGAAAAGAGGACGGGATTGTAGAAACGACAATTTGAACATATCCGTGGTCATCAGTGACATAAATGTTCCATAACGGTCAATCAATTCGTGTTTGAGTCCGTGTAATTTTCTTTTCAACTTTAGCATATGAAACCCCTACTTCAATAGCTTCCTTGTATGCAGCAACACTCTATCAAGCAAATAGTGAAAGGAAAAGCAAACTCTGGCATATCGCATCAACTTGGAGATACATGTATATACTCCATATGCAGGCTCTGCTGGAATGTTGCTACATAGAAACTGGGCATTTGACAGACCTAGCAATATAAAGTAAGTGCAAGGACACTTATGTAGCTTATGTATATAATACAGTCAAATAAGGTTTAGTTCTGCATCTTTTGTTGAAATTCAAAAGGAACACAAAACAGATCTATGATTGTTCAGAATTTCCTTTTTGGTAAGTGTCGTGGAGGTATATGTTGAGTTTCAGTAGCATACCTTCTGCCCTATCGTATTGCGTTTACATACTTGTATCTCAACTAATACGGTATAGTCTTGCATATTCAGTTATCCTGATATCATATCATTTGCGGGGATGTGCTTCTTACACAAAACTGCCCCAATAGTGTTATGCGGAAGAACTGCTGATTTCGACACTTCATGAGTTTAACGATCATCGTCCGATACGATAGGTCTGTGTCTAACTCACTTGCGACATGTTTATACGATCTTAGATGTTTTGATACCAGAATAGTCGTCTGGATAATAATTTACCAGTAGGGTCTTATTCCCGATTGTGACATTTCGACTTAGTGTGAATTCGCATGGCGGGTGATCCTTGGTAACAGGAGACATTTGTTTCCCTGTCGACGAACATGGTCTCGCTACATTTTGGAGTTCATGTGATTCCATAGTTTTTGTTTGTCACTTTGGTTGGAATTTTCCAAATCGATTTATGAGATTTGAACATCGGTAAGCAACTGTTGCCTGTAATTCAAAAATAATAGTAGACATAATCTGGAATATTATGATCAGGTAATTTTTAATTATATTTTAGGGCTCAACTGAATTTTGTCACAGAGGAGCTGAAGAATACTTGGCATTGCACACGTCATGTCTTCTTTGACTGTCCATGACGTTAAAATACTAAATCCCTGGGATGTGTTTTAGTTGATTTTAGTCTCTGATGCATGATTTTTTATTATTAATTGTTTTGGCTTTCAACTAGCTGTAACTGCGAGTACTCTCAAATCGAACTTTCTTGTTTATTCGACCTGTTGATACTAATTGTAATGCTTTTTTGTTATTTAATGTTATTCAGGGTTATATCTGGTCTATATACCAGCTTTGATAAGTGTTTGGTATTACTATAAATTTTCACTTCGTACTATGGACAACAAAATTATTTATTTTGTAAAAATATTTCCTTTCTCTATTGGAACTGTACACGTATACCTAACAACACAATTATTTTCATTTACCTGTGTTTAAAGATATTGTAAATGGCTGATATTTTTGTTCGAGCATATTGTTTTTCTTCATTTGTTTAACATTTCATACCGATATAACATGTTACTTTTATTATTCTTCCCTTAGTTTATTTATTTTGTATTTACATTGTATCATAGGTCAAATTTATTCGTTCAGTGTATGTTCGCTGGTGTTAATATGTCTTTTGATTGAGTTAAGCTATTTCAGTTGATATTTTATAGTGTGTCTTTCTATGTTGTGATGTTACACTATTGTTTCAGAAAAAGGGTGAAAGGTTTGGTACCATTAAAACGTTTAAACCCGCTGCATTTGTTTGCACCTGTCCTAAGTCAGGAATCTGATGTTCAGTAGTTGTCGTTTGTGGATGTGGTTCATAAGTGTTTCTCGTTTCTCGTTTTTTATATAGATTAGACCGTTGGTTTTCCCGTTTGAATGGTTTTACACTAGTAATTTTTGAGCCCTTTAAAGCTTACTGTTCGGTGTGAGCCAAGGCTCCGTGTTGAAGACCGTACTTTGACCTATAATGGTTTACTTTTTTAAATTTTGACTTCGATCGAGAGTTGTCTCATTGGCACTCATACCACATCTTCTTATATCTATAGACGGTATGTTGTATGAAACTTAGAAGGACTAAAATGACAATTAAACATCGCATGTAGAAAACTGGGAAAACAGCTCAACACATAGTACAATCAAACAACATCAAACATTCTAAGCATATTACACAGATGGCAAGACAGTTAATGACAAAAATGTAGTATTATAACTGAAGTTATTGAAGAACATACGTCCGATTATCAGAAATACGCGTTCAACATATCTGAAGCAAATCCATGCTTTAATATGGTATGAAATAGTATAGTTTCATTTTTTAGCTGTCTATTAATCAGGTATTATAGAGTAAAGCGTTCTTTCTGCATTTTGATTTTGAGCTTTACTTTGTACCTGATGGTTATTCCGCTAATCGAGATTAAAATATGGAGCGTTCGGTGTTAAAAATTTAGTTGAACGCAGCCACAGGTTCATGTACCTTACCTTAGTATTAGACTTCATCTGTTGTTGTCTAAAGTATATCTTTATGATACTGGTATCAGGTTCATGTACCTTACCTTAGTATTAGACTACATCTGTTGTTGTCTAAAGTATATCTTTATGATACTGGTATCAGGTTCATGTACCTTACCTTAGTATTAGACTACATCTGTTGTTGTCTAAAAAATTGAAAACAACACTTTAAATAATTTCATGCGTCCGAAGCGCTTTTCTGGATTTACCTTCATCGGGAACGCTCAAAGCCAAACATTTGAAATCCGAGGGATGTATAAGTACCGAAACAGTTGAAGAGCTATATGACAAAAATACCTAAAACAAATAGCCAAATTCATATAAGGTCAACTTTGCCTGAGGGAGTTGAAACCTTAGTTTCTTTATAATTTCAAAATTTATAAACAGACAATTTTAGAAAGGTTTGTTATAAATCATGTCAGTACCGAAGTACTGACTACTGAGCTGATGATACCATCGGGGACTGATAGTCCACCAGCAGAAGTATCTCTTTATGAGGCTGGTATCAGGTTCATGTGCCTTACCTTAACATACGACTACATCTGTTGTTGTCTAAAGTATATTTTTATGAGGCTGGTATCAGGTTCATGTAGCTTACCTTAGTATTAGACTACATCTGTTGTTGTCTAAAGTATATCTTTATGAGGCTGGTATCTATGATGAGTTAATTTTTCCTTTACATAATTTTGATGTTATTAGCGGATCTTTAATATTATCTGTTGAGCTTTAAATACTGTATGGACACATTTTTTTTATTGATGGATGAACTAACTTATTTGCAGTTAATATATCCATACAGTCTAGTGTTGAAGTTTTTAGACATCAATAACTTTGTAAAACCTTTATGGAATTTTACAAAACTTTTACACATCCAGAGATAAACTAAAAATTTAGAATGTATAGTGTGTGTGGACCATTGTTTGTCTATTCGTCGTTTTTCTTTTGGCCGGAGTATTGTCTGTTTTTCTTCTACTTGTGATGTCTGATTGTCTGCTTGGTTTATTCGTTACCTTTTTTCATTGCGAAATGGAGAGCTCCAGCAAGTCATCTACCTTCAACACTGTAAAAGCGTCGAAACCATAACATGACAACTTCTAAATCGACTCGGAGTGAAGATACATTATGAATTATTCTAATACATTATTCCCTAATAGCAAAACATACACGGAGCAAAAGTGACTGACGAAATTCCTATCTTTGGACATGCACCTTAGGGTATCATTCGACAGAGTAAATACAGTTTGTGAGGACTTACCCTCACACAGTTAAAAAGCACAATAGCAAAAGAAAAAAAGGCCATTTCCTAAAAAAATATCGATGATACAGTCTATAATCCTATTAAAGAGTGCTTGCAGTAAATAAAATCAAGTTGTCATCACTGTAACTAATGACAATTAAACATTGCCTTCCTGATATCAGTGCTTCTACATAGGATTGATAAATGTCATAAATATTGTCATAAAAAGTTATTGTGTAATGCCCTAAAAAATTTCTTTTGTTTTTGCCTTCTTTTTTTATTGTTTTGTTTAAAATGTTTTTATCTATTTATTTGTTTTGGATTTTTCATTTTCTTATATGTTTTTCCATTCATTGTTGAAATTTATTTTTTTTTAATTCTACAGGTACATATGGTAGTCTAGCGACGGGTTTTGGAGGATCAGAGAAAAATCCATCGGTATGGGTCTCAGCTATATATAGCAGAATGTGGGCTTTCGGTGGATGGTAAAATCATATGCATCTATGAGGGTAGATTGTATCAACAATGGTATTGAGACGACAAAAACAGACACAATGTTTGTTCGAGACAAATTGATAGACATAGAAACAGAGAATCTAAAACAAAACCTTCTGTTCTTTGCGTTGGAAGAAAAGTATGATAATGTTGAAACGAATGATGAAAATAAGGGGGGTGCAACGGGGACAGTGGATAAGAAGAGTGAAACGGTACAAATGAGTGAAAACTGTGTCGACACAGTGCTTAATTTTTGTGAACAATTTCTTAACATTGAAAATGCTAGAAACAAAATTAAAATTGAAAAGGCATACCGATTAGGAAAACCCAACACTAACGCGTCAAAGCCTAGACCAATCGTGGCTAAATTCTGCGATATGTCCGACAGGGAGTATGTCCGCAGTGTATCGAATCGCCTAAAGGAAACACATTTTGGTATAAGCCCCCATTATCCAAAGGTTGTGCTTGAAAAACGGAAAAAGCTTATTCCTATAATGAAACAACAGCGGAAAAATCAAAAGAAAGCATATATTGTCGGCGATAAGCTATTTGTTAACGGTCAGTTGTGGAGGGACTAAGGAACAGCGGAGTGTGATGTTAAACAAAACAGATGTAATAGTAAAACGGGAAATCATGAGTGTTTAAATATGTGTTCTTGGAATATTTCGAGAGGAATAATACGAAAGCTAAAAGATGGAAATTTTTTAAAAATTATAAAGAAATACGATATTCTGTGTTTCAATGAGTGCTGGGTCAAATTCCCTGGTGAATTTGATCTAAAAGGTTACGACAAAAAGTGTTTATATAGAGAGAAATGTAACGGGGGTGGAATAGTAGTGTTTTATAAAAAATGGATTAGCCCATTTATTGAAATTGTGAAATGTTGTGTGGATTGTATGATTTGGTTTAAGATTGATAAAAGTATAACACCTGATAATTTAGATTTATACATATGCTCTATATATATGCCTCCAGATAAAAATATGTTTTATCGTAAATATAACTGTGATGTATTTGATATTTTGCAAGAACAAATAGAATCTCTGTATAATATTGGTACTGTAGCTGTTTTAGGGGACCTAAATGGTCGTGTTGGGTTGAAACCGGACTATTTATTAAACGATTTCTTAGATCCATTTTTACAAGACAATATCTCATTTATTGATTATGAAAATGATAGGCAAGATTTTGTGCAGAGACATTCCGAGGATACAAAAGCGCCCAACAGTTTAGGACAAAGAATTTTACAATTATGTAAATCCTCCGGGTTACGCATCTGTAACGGACGTTTTGGAGAAGATAGTGGTAAAATAACTTTTAATAATAAAAATGGTTGTAGTGTAATTGACTATTTATTATTATCTGAGAATATGTTTAAGATTGTAAAGAGTTTTAACGTAGGAATGTTTACTAGTTTTTCATGTCACGCTCCATTGTCAGTTCAATTTTACCTTAGGGACAATACTGTAAATTTGATCAAAGATCAATGCTCATGTAGTAATCATGTTTATAATACTTTTAAATGGAGAAACGAGTGCGAAGATGACGTCAGAGAGAGTTTGTTGTCTAACGCCCAGCAGTTTGAGGATATGTTGATAAATATAGATGAAAATAGCGACACCAATATCTGCGTGGATGAATTAAATAAACTTTTGTCTGATATTTTTGAACAGTATACAAAGACAGAAATTAGACATAAAAAACACTGTGATATATGTACTGATGATTATAAACAATTTAAAACTACAACAGATAAACCCTGGTTTACAGATGAATGTAAAAACTTATATAATGCTTACCAACAGGCACTTGGAACTTTTAATAAGTACCGGTCCAATGAAAATAG